GATTCTTGATAAAATCCAAAGAAGAATCTATCTTACATATTTATATGTCTACCATTTATCCTTGCTTTGAATATTGCTGCCACATCTGGTCTGGTGCTTCTGCTATATATTTAGAGATTCTTGATAAAATCCAAAGAAGAATCTATCTTACATATTTATAAGTCTACCATTCATCGTTGCTTTGAATATTGCTGCCACATCTGGTCTGGTGCTTCTGCTATATATTTAGAGATTCTTGATAAAATCCAAAGAAGAATCTATCTTACATATTTATAAGTCTACCATTCATCGTTGCTTTGAATATTGCTGCCACATCTGGTCTGGTGCTTCTGCTATATATTTTGAGATTCTTGATAAAATCCAAAGAAGAATATATCTTACATATTTATAAGTCTACCATTCATCCTTGATTTGAATATTGCTGCCACATCTGGTCTGGTGCTTCTGCTATATATTTAGAGATTCTTGATAAAATGGAAAAGAAGAATCTATCTTAAATCTATAAGTCTATCATTCATCCTTGCTTTGAATTTTGCTGCCACATCTGGTCTGGTGCTTCTGCTATATATTTAGAGATTCTTGATAAAATCCAAAGAAGATCTATCTTACATATTTATAAGACTACCATTCATCCTTGCTTTGAATATTGCTGCCACATCTGATATGATGCTTCTGCTATATATTTAAAGATTCTTGATAAAATGCAAAGAAGAATCTATCTTACATATTTATAAGTCTATCATTCATCCTTGCTTTGAATATTGCTGCCATCTGGTCTGGTGCTTCTGATATATATTTAGAGATTCTTGATAAAATGCAAAGAAGAATCTATCTTAAATATTTATAAGTCTACCATTCATCCTTGCTTTGAATATTGCTGCCTCATCTGGTCTGGTGCTTCTGCTATATATTTAGAGATTCTTGATAAAATCCAAAGAAGAATATATCTTACATATTTATAAGTCTACCATTCATCCTTGCTTTGAATATTGCTGCCACATCTGGTATGGTGCTTCTGCTATATATTTAAAGATTCTTGATAAAATCCAAAGAAGAATCTATCTTACTTATTTATAAGTCTACCATTCATCCTTGCTTTGAATATTGCTGCCACATCTGGTCTGGTGCTTCTGCTATATATTTAGAGATTCTTGATAAAATCCAAAGAAGAATCTATCTTACATATTTATAAGTCTACCAATCATCCTTGATTTGGATATTGCTGCCACATCTGGTCTGGTGCTTCTGCTATATATTTTGAGATTCTTGATAAAATCCAAAGAAGAATATATCTTACATATTTATAAGTCTACCATTCATCGTTGATTTGAATATTGCTGCCACATCTGGTCTGGTGCTTCTGCTATATATTTTAGAGATTCTTGATAAAATCCAAAGAAGAATCTATCTTACATATTTATAAGTCTACCATTCATCTTGATTTGGATATTTATACATCTGGTCTGGTGCTTCTGCTATATATTTTGAGATTCTTGATAAAATCCAAAGAAGAATATATCTTACATATTTATAAGTCTACCATTCATCCTTGATTTGAATATTGCTGCCACATCTGGTCTGGTGCTTCTGCTATATATTTAGAGATTCTTGATAAAATCCAAAGAAGAATCTATCTTACATATTTATAAGTCTACCATTCATCCTTGATTTGGATATTGCTGCCACATCTGGTCTGGTGCTTCTGCTATATATTTTGAGATTCTTGATAAAATCCAAAGAAGAATATATCTTACATATTTATAAGTCTACCATTCATCCTTGATTTGAATATTGCTGCCACATCTGGTCTGGTGCTTCTGCTATATATTTAGAGATTCTTGATAAAATCCTAAGAAGAATCTATCTTACATATTTATATGTCTACCATTTATCCTTGCTTTTGATATTGCCATTTCTGCTATATATTTAGAGATTCTTGATAAAATCCAAAGAAGAATCTATCTTACATATTTATAAGTCTACCATTCATCTGGTCTGGTGCTTCTGCTATATATTTAAAGATTCTTGATAAAATCCAAAGAAGAATCTATCTTACATATTTATAAGTCTACCATTCATCCTTGCTTTGAATATTGCTGCCACATCTGGTCTGGTGCTTCTGCTATATATTTAGAGATTCTTGATAAAATCCAAAGAAGAATCTATCTTACATATTTATAAGTCTACCATTCATCGTTGCTTTGAATATTGCTGCCACATCTGGTCTGGTGCTTCTGCTATATATTTAGAGATTCTTGATAAAATCCAAAGAAGAATCTATCTTACATATTTATAAGTCTACCATTCATCCTTGATTTGGATATTTGCCACATCTGGTCTGGTGCTTCTGCTATATATTTTGAGATTCTTGATAAAATCCAAAGAAGAATATATCTTACATATTTATAAGTCTACCATTCATCCTTGATTTGAATATTGCTGCCACATCTGGTCTGGTGCTTCTGCTATATATTTAGAGATTCTTGATAAAATCCAAAGAAGAATCTATCTTACATATTTATATGTCTACCATTTATCCTTGCTTTGAATATTGCTGCCACATCTGGTCTGGTGCTTCTGCTATATATTTAGAGATTCTTGATAAAATCCAAAGAAGAATCTATCTTACATATTTATAAGTCTACCATTCATCGTTGCTTTGAATATTGCTGCCATCTGGTCTGGTGCTTCTGCTATATATTTAGAGATTCTTGATAAAATCCAAAGAAGAATCTATCTTACATATTTATAAGTCTACCATTCATCGTTGCTTTGAATATTGCTGCCACATCTGGTCTGGTGCTTCTGCTATATATTTTGAGATTCTTGATAAAATCCAAAGAAGAATATATCTTTACATATTTATAAGTCTACCATTCATCCTTGATTTGAATATTGCTGCCACATCTGGTCTGGTGCTTCTGCTATATATTTAGAGATTCTTGATAAAATCAAAGAAGAATCTATCTTACATATTTATATGTCTACCATTTATCCTTGCTTTGAATATTGCTGCCACATCTGGTCTGGTGCTTCTGCTATATATTTAGAGATTCTTGATAAAATCCAAAGAAGAATCTATCTTACATATTTATAAGTCTACCATTCATCGTTGCTTTGAATATTGCTGCCACATCTGGTCTGGTGCTTCTGCTATATATTTAGAGATTCTTGATAAAATCCAAAGAAGAATCTATCTTACATATTTATAAGTCTACCATTCATCCTTGCTTTGAATATTGCTGCCACATCTGGTCTGGTGCTTCTGCTCTATATTTAGAGATTCTTGATAAAATCCAAAGAAGAATCTATCTTACATATTTATAAGTCTACCATTCATCGTTGCTTTGAATATTGCTGCCACATCTGGTCTGGTGCTTCTGCTATATATTTAGAGATTCTTGATAAAATCCAAAGAAGAATCTATCTTACATATTTATAAGTCTACCATTCATCCTTGATTTGGATATTGCTGCCACATCTGGTCTGGTGCTTCTGCTATATATTTTGAGATTCTTGATAAAATCCAAAGAAGAATATATCTTACATATTTATAAGTCTACCATTCATCGTTGCTTTGAATATTGCTGCCACATCTGGTCTGGTGCTTCTGCTGTATATTTAGAGATTCTTGATAAAATCCAAAGAAGAATCTATCTTACATATTTATATGTCTACCATTTATCCTTGCTTTGAATATTGCTGCCACATATGGTCTGGTGCTTCTGCTATATATTTAGAGATTCTTGATAAAATCCAAAGAAGAATCTATCTTACATATTTATAAGTCTACCATTCATCGTTGCTTTGAATATTGCTGCCACATCTGGTCTGGTGCTTCTGCTATATATTTAGAGATTCTTGATAAAATCCAAAGAAGAATCTATCTTACATATTTATAAGTCTACCATTCATCGTTGCTTTGAATATTGCTGCCACATCTGGTCTGGTGCTTCTGCTATATATTTAGAGATTCTTGATAAAATCCAAAGAAGAATCTATCTTACATATTTATAAGTCTACCATTCATCCTTGCTTTGAATATTGCTGCCACATATGGTCTGGTTTACTTGCTGTATATCTAGAGATTCTTGATAAAATCCAAAGAAGAATCTGCAATGTTATTGGTCCTGACCTGGCGTCTCGACTTCAATCACTTTTCCACCGCCGTAAATTTTCACCCCTGTTAACTTTCTTTCCATATTTTGATGGCAATTGTCCGGGTGAACCTTCAGTGGCCTACCGCTCATCTCTCAGTTGCGTCTCTGTCTTCGAGCAGAGGGAGACTCAGTTGCGTTTCCGTTTGCGGACAGAGACGGAGCTGGTAGAAAACTGTGAGTCGCCTTGTCTCACTCCACCATTGTGCTAAAGACGGATGGATCGGTTAAAAGACGGATACGGGGCAGTGCAAATTACTGTCCGTTGCCTGTATGTAGACGCTCAGGTTCCACAGATTAAACTCGAGTTTTTGTCTCACCTCGTCTCAGTCGGGATACTTGGGTAAATGCTACTTTCCGCTCCTGTAACTTGGCTTTATAAATTTAAACGCAAGGTGTCACAAACTGAATTGGCTAGATGCAACAATATGTTCTATACAAACAGTTCCTTTTCTCAGTTGTGGAACTACCCACTGACTCCATACGTTTCAGCCAAGATTGATTTTCAAAAATGTAAATGCATTGTCAATCTCTATCTACCGTCTTCCTGGTTACTCTGTTATTTGCCTCGCTCCATTCTTTTTTCTTATTCTCCTTTTCCTTGTGTCTTAGTGGCTTTACTACCTTGCATGAGGTGAAATGATAAAAAAAATGAATATAAAGTAACAAAGAAAATAATTATAACAATATGAGTGAATATTTATTTTTATTAAAAAAAAATAATTTCGTAAGAAAAAAAAACGAAATAAAAGGCCTCCATCTTAAGCATGTACGAAGCAATGGTCCATCACAAATACTAGTTTCCCACCTTAGATATTAGTTTTTATGACGATTAGCTGCGGTATGTTTTTCCCGTTCTTCACGACTCAGCGCGTCGTGTAAAGTGATCTGACTTGGACGCCATATTTATTGGTATAATTTTCAATTTGCTTTAGGCATTTGTTCAGTTTGTTCTGTCGGAGGAGTTCATTTCAGCGAGTGAAAGACAGCAACATTTATTCGGCCTCGGGCTATGAGAGAAGTAACGAAACGCATTTGAAAATCTATCTATCTATCTATCTATCTATCTATCTATCTATCTATCTATCTATCTATCTATGTCAGTTTGTACAAATCTATCTATCTATAGATATATATATAGAAAGAGAAGTAACGAAACGCATTTGACGATCTATCTATCTATCTATCTATCTATCTATCTATCTATCTATCTATCTATCTGTCTGTCTTTTCAACAATATCTAATCTTTTTGTTCCTAGTTACCATACCTTCGTTTGCGTTCATTGCAAAATTCTTACATGTTTTTCTTTATTTCCTTTTTCTACCTTCATTTACTCTTTTCTTTCTTTCTTTCTTTCTTTCTTTCTTTCTTTCTTTCTTTCTTTCTTTCTTTCTTTCTTTCACTACTCCTTCTGTCATTTACATATCCCTCTTTCTTTCTTCTTTCTTTCGTTTTTTCTTTCGCACATTCTAATTTTCAGTCTTCAACCATATCCCTCTTTCTTTCTTTCTTTCTTTCTTTCTTTCTTTCTAACCACACAGTCACTTTCACACATTCTTTCTTTCTTTCTTTCTTTCTTTCTTTCTTTCTTTCTTTCTTTCTTTCTTTCTTTCTTTCTTTCTTTCACAGATATTCTCTCACTATCTATAACCCCACAGTCTCTTTCACACATTCTTTCTTTCTTTCTTTCTTTCTTTCTTTCTTTCTTTCTTTCTTTCTTTCTTTCCTCTCTTTCTTTCTTTCTTTCTTTCTTTCACTTTGAGGAGATTGTCCTGCTTTCATGGCCATATAGAGAACAGATATTACAAAACTTTTCAGCTGTCTTTTTTTTTGTTTCTAACAAAGTTTTTCTGTCTCTTAATACTCTGCTTATGTTTTGGAAGACATCTTTGGCTATCCCAATGCGCCTTCTGATATCAGTATCGCATTTTCCGCCATCTGTTAAAACCTTTCCCAGATATTTAAATTTTTGTACTTGTTTTATTTTTCTATCGCTTTATTTTTCTTTATTTCCTTTTTCTACCTTCACTTATTCTTTTCTTTCTTTCTTTCTTTCTTTCTTTCTTTCTTTCTTTTCCAAACTTATACATTGTTTGTGTATGTTTCTTTCTTTTTTCCAACCTGATCTTTCATTTTTCATTCTATCATTTCTAAATTTATAGAATCTTCTTTTTTTCGTTGGCCATTCGGTTTCTCAAACGTTTTTTCTTTGTGACGTCATAATCCAATTTTATTTTTCTTTCCGACTATATAACTCTTTCTTTTATTCTTCCTTCCTTTCTGCCTTCCTTTTTTATTTCTTACTTTTTAGTAGAGTTCTTAGTTTCGTTTATTGTTTACTTGTTTCTTTCTTTCTTTCTTCATAAGTCTTTCTTTCTTTCTTTATTTATTTGTTTCTTTCTTTCGTTTCGACATTATAATTCTTTCGTTTTTCTGACGTTATATTTTTTCTGACCTTATAATTCATTCTTTCTTTTTTAAGTCTTTATCATTCCTTCTAATTTTATATTTCTTTCTTTCATTCTTTCTTTCACAGACTTTCTCTCACTTTTGTCTATAACCTAGTCTCTTTCACACATTCTTTCTTTCTTTCTTTGTTTCTTTCTTTCCGACTTTCTAATCCTTTCTTTCTTTAGAACTATAAATCTTTCACTTGATTTCAAATGTATTACCTTCCCTCTTTTTGGCATGATAAGTCTTTCTTTCTTTCTTTTTATTTCTTTCTTTAGACATCTTTCTTTCTCTATGTTGTCTTTCATTCGTCCTAACTTTATAATACATTCTTTCATTCATTCTTTCTTTCTTTCTCCATACATATTTACATATCTTTCTTTCTTTCCCTTTTTGGTCTTTCATTCGTCCTACCATCATAATACATTCTTTCTTTCTTTTTCTTTCCTTCTTTCCTTCCTTCCTTCCTTCCTTTCTACATCTTATTACATCTTTCTTTTCTTTCTTTTCTCTCTCTTTCATTCTTTCTAA